TTTTTTTAATAATGTATTGCAGTGTCCTCATAGTTTATGTGCTTTATAATGCCATAAAAGTATGGATCAAATTAGGAATCCTTTGATGAAAATAAAATGGTTGAGCATCCCAATTTCCACTATGGTTTTTATTGGTTAAAGAAGAGGATTTCAGGCCTTTTTCCGATGAGAATAAGAATAACTGAGATGAAAGCATAATGGGGTAATATTATAGTAGCAGTCTGCCCCAGAAAGGTGTAGTCTTTTGTGGGGGGTAGTAGTGACTTTTTGATACAGGACTAGCCACCAAACAGAGAGACCTGGTTGGTATTTGCAGCACTAAAGAGGGAGATGAATCTGTCTATTTTTGTGCATACCAACAGATGGGAACAGTAACCAAGGACTTATTGTTCGAATGAATTGTTTGAATGGAATTCAGTTTTGTGTAGAAGTAATCTATTTTTTTAAAATAAAATCTCGAGTTTAATCTTGAGGATAGAGAAATAAGTATCAGAAAAACTTTTTTTTTATGGAGTCTGATATGATTAAATTTTGAATTAATTGAAACATAAATTAATTATCGGATACCAAAAAATTATTAATAAAAAGAATAAAAACAGTAATATGATTGGCGCGCCGACCCAAACAAATAAGATACTGAAAACCAAAGATTGGAAAAAGAGAGAATCTTCCTTTGACTAAAACACTTGCATTGTTATCCATGTACCATGGGCCATGAACATTATCTCTCACGTGTCATACAAGCCTACACTGTGTGTATTTGGTTTACTTTGACATTGCCTAAATCATTATATAATGTATGTATACATTGAAGTGGAAACTTCAGCACAGGGAGATTGAGAAAGATCTATGGGCAAGTTCAAAAGAGTGTGTGTCTTCTGTGGAAGCAATTCAGGGAATAGACAGATTTTCAGTGATGCAGCTCTTGATTTTGCTAGACAACTGGTTGATACTCAACACTTTTCTTCTCCATCTTTGTAATACAAGCCTGCACACACACATAAGGGCGATGCTTGTGATACTTCTTGAAGGATATGGTTTCATTAAAGGGAAATTCATTTGCAGGTTGAGAGGAAGATGGATTTGGTTTATGGAGGGGGAAGTATTGGACTGATGGGTTTGGTTTCTCAAACAGTTTATGATGGGGGATGTCATGTTCTCGGGTAAGTGATCATAAAAAGGGAATCAAATAATCATGCAGCTTTTGTATTGATGAAGAAAGTAGACTACAAATACATGCATATACTTCATTTGCTGTGTTGCTTTGTAAGAGTTGGAGACTGGCTTGTGGTGGATTCAGCACAAATACAGTCATCATAACTTTGTTTCATTGATTATATGCCAATTCTTAGTTTTGTTTTATTTCTATATATATTCACCATGCTTTTCAAATTTATTCATGATTTACTTATTCTTTTCTTTGTGGGGATTTCTAGAGTTATCCCAACAGCTCTTCTTTCTGTAGAGGTATGGAATGAAGTTACTCGTTCTCTCTATTTGTGTGGAATGAATTCTCTCTCTCTTTTATTCATTCTCTCTAACTGTAGCTAGGGTTCTATATATATGCTTTTTTATCAGATATCAGGCCATGCAGTGGGAGAAGTATTGATTGTGTCAGATATGCATGAGAGAAAGGCAGAGATGGCTCGACGAGCTGATGCTTTCATTGCACTACCTGGTAAGAACAAAGGCATAGTGTTAATCCCAACTAAAACTTGCATAAACTAATGAAAAACTATATGCTATATAAAACTACTGATGCAGTATTGATGACTTTGAATATTGAAGGAGGTTATGGAACAATGGAAGAGTTGCTTGAGATGATAACATGGTCTCAGCTTGGCATCCATGACAAACCTGTAAGTAATATATGGTCAGCATCTCTTATAAATTACCTTGAATTGTTTACTTCTCCTTTATTTACATGTGTGTCGGTACAAAGCAACTGTAGCACCCAAATGATTTCTCTTCCCCGGTAAAATTAAAAGGTACAGTCAAGATCTTCAAAAGTTTCCTCTTCATGTATAGAAAATGAAATTATTAAAGTAGATGAATAATGTTTGATTAAATAATTTAGTAGTGATGGCCCTAGGGATGATGCATGATTGTTAACCTGGCTAGCTAGCTTTGGTTATATATTCAATCAACTATAAAAAACTTCTTCATTCTTCACATCTCCTTGAAAATATGGCCCCTACATCTTTGTTAATAAATTCCTTGCGGGAATTTTCCTAGCTAGACCTTTAAAATTGAATATCTATTGTGAAGGAGGTTTACCAAACACAATACATGGCAAAAGGGACTACAAAGCTTGTTTTTTGGCTAAGGTATCTTATCAATATTCAATGTAAAATGTACATAAGCCATGTAGGGTTAAGAAACGTTGGGGATAGATTACAAAGTAAATGCATGTATGAAATATAGGTTTCCACACAAATGATGATCTTTTGTGATATGTTATACGCGCTTTGTTGATGACAGTCCTCATTTTTACCGTTCCCTCTCACATTCTTATGCTTAGCTGATGAACTTACTTCTATCTCACTGTATTTTTCAACCATTCAACAGAGAGAATGAAAAGGAAAAAGAGGGGGAAAAGGTTAGATGATGACGGTGTCTAAGTACGTTTGGTCCTTTTGCTTGTTTGATTAATGGTTGTAGACAAAAGTAGGGCATGCCATAGGCTTAGGTTGGTTTTTTGTGTTTTCTTTCCAGGTTACTTACAGACACCTAATCTCTTTGTCCTCAATTTTTAGGCTGTAATTATGCACTTTAACCAACCATTTTTAATTATTAAGCATCAACCATCCTGATTCATGCACTGAGATTAATTATGAGCCAATATCATACCGTCCTTTGAGCTTGACAGCAGCTTCTTTCTGATGGGGATGGCCATGAAGCTAACTCAACACCCACTTTTAGGTCCATAGTTAGAACCTAACCTCTCCCTCGGCTTGAATGCGTGAAAGTTTGATGAATCAAGTCTTCTGCTGCAAATGGATCCAAAACAAATATAATAAGGGAAAAGGTTAAAGAAGGTTAAACTCAACACCCATAATATCAAAAATGTTCTTTTCAGTTCGAACTGGTAAAAATAAATACTACTTTGGATTCCAAATAACTTGGTTGCCCTTAGTGGTTAATACACCGAGTTTCAAAGAATAACTGAGAGGGCAACCTAGTCAACTTAGGGCATTAAGGGCAATGTTAAGATTTCTAGTCCTGACTAGAAATTTTTTTTTGGCTTGCTTAGACTGAAAAGAACATTTTTCCAAAATTAGCAGCTTTCTTTATTTTGGGTGTTCAATTATTTAAAGAGAACCACGAACCATTAGATGAGGGAATAACTTTTAATATGAAGAGTTTTATCTCTTATCAAATTGTTTCGATCATGCAGTCTAAACTTCACGATTTTTTTTATTAGAATACCTCAAAAATATAATAGTAAAGGACATAGAACTGAATGTCTTTCTTTTTCTCTTTCTTTTCTTTATTTTTTGTTTTCTCACATTTGAATTGCTAAATCAGGTGGGGCTGTTAAATATTGATGGCTATTATGATTTCTTGCTGGGGTTATTCGACAAAGGTGTAGAAGAAGGATTCATCAACCCTTCTGCAAGGAGCATCGTCATAGCTGCAGATAATGCTAGAGAGCTGATACAGAAGATGGAGGTAAGTAATTTTCCAGCATCAAGTTTTAGGATTTCAAATTACAGTATTAAACAGCCTGAAAATGGATGAAGAGAATGACAGCTTGGATTTCCTGTCAAGCACATGCTTTTGCAATGTTGAAAGGATGGATGGAAACAGAAACTGGAAATCAGGAGTATAGTTTGTGTAACACAGTTATCTTCTATTGCAGGAGTATGTACCCGAGCATGAGCAAGTGGCACCAAAACGAAGCTGGGATATAGAGGGCCATGATGACAAAAGTTGGTAGCAGTTTGCTTTATGAGATTGCTTCTTGATCTTGTAAAGGAAAAGAAATTTATTTGCTGCAACCGTAATACTTAACATGAACAATTCTGTTAATTCCTGAAGCCTGAAGGCAATTGGGTTTCCAAGCTGCTGCTCAAAGTCAAATTTTGTATCGGTCATTGAATAGCAGAGGATCAGCAATTGTTTTCCCCAGTCAATTTATGTGTTGAAAATTATTAAAAGAAAGAACAGGATAGATGTTAGATGATAAACATGAATTTTACTTCAAAATACAATAAAACAAACCCTGATGTGATCTCAACAATTTCATTCCAGTGATGGAATAAAAAAGCTAAAGAACATACATGATATGTGAATCCATTCTGAGACAAAAATGCAGGAAGAGCTATTCTTATTCTAAACCTGATCAGCACGTATTAATTCCATCCTTGCAGTCCTTGGTCAAATTATAAAAGGTTTCCACTCGTGTCTTTGCCCTATAAAGGACCTCAGTATCCACAGCCACTCTCATGTACCCATCAAATTCAACTGGATTTCCATCATTCAGAAGCATGGTCTCATTGTACCACTCACTAGAGTTGCTCCATAGTTCCTTGTAATCATCAAGCAAATGTACTTTGTACTGAGACCTCAATTTATCAAAGTAATTATAGAATGGTTCATTAGTGGCTATGTACAGATTCCTCCAAGGCTGAATCATTCCTGGAAGCTTTGCAAGAAGAGCATCAGGGGATGTATCAGCATCCAGATGAGGCCAGAGCTCTTTATTCTGTGCCTTTTCTCCTCGAACCACATGAATAGCATCAAAATCCCAGTCCATCCGCCCACTGATTTCAGTGACTATGTTCATCAATCTCTTTGATTTCCACAGAGCTCGCCAGGGCCTATGAATGTACTTTGCAGCTTCCCCCTCACATACTCTGTACCAATAATTCTCTGGCTCAGGAGCATCAAACTGCCTCCAAATAATTGTGCTCTTCTCTTTCATAAGCTGCATTGGTGTAACCTTATAGGTCGAAATCTTCTTGACTGGAACCTTTCTTTTATGGGCCCGATCCCATTTCTTCCAATCTTTCAAAAACTCATCCTCTTCCACAATTGAAGCCACCTCCTTAAGATGCTCAAAATCAAAATAGAACCGAAAATCTTTCCCCTCCTCATCTTTATTACTGGGATTATAAGATGCAGACAAACACACACTTAAATCCATAACAAATGTTCTATTTAGATACATAGCCTCCCCTAGGCCACACAAGAAACTCCATAAATAATGGTTCATTCCTTTGCAGTAATCCCCTCCACGTGAATAATACAAGTATTTCCCCTTTCTAAAGACCACATCTGAACCCAAGGTTGGAATTGTATCATTGATCTCCTCATCACGAACTGGTGCTGGGAGTTTCACATTCCTACCACCCCTAGTGGGGGTGAGCCTATTCCTGGGCCTTCGAGCATTAATTCCAGAATGCCAACCACTTGCATGCACCACTTTGTAAGTACAATTATCTCCATTCCCAAACGTAAACCTTCGAAAATCCCTATACTTCCTCCAAGACTTCTCCTTCTTGTTCCTAAACCTCCAAGCCACATCACACTCATCTGCTTTTGATCCATTAACTGGAGTCTGATAGTCCAGAAACACAATAGACTTAAAAATCTTTAAATTGAACTTCTCAACAGTGAGCAGAACACGAGGGTCTGAACAATTCACAACCTTTAAGTCCTCACAATCTGATGTTAGACTCAGATTGGTAATTCTCTCCTCCCTTTCAATCACTGCCTCGGTAATGGAAGCAGCAGATGGCGACACCACAGGGGCGGCAACCAAATCCTCTCCAGTTTTAAGGATAGAATTATCATTCTTGAAGGTGGCATTCTCAGATTGAGTGAAGAGCTTAGTTAAGGCCGGAGCTGACTCCAGCCATGGATCAGGAGGCTGGTAGGTGATGGCAATAACTGTAAATATCAAAACTGAGAAGACAAACACTGAGAAACAGAGATTGCTTATCAACTTTATCAGGTTTTGGCCTAAGGGTTCGGTGGTCAAATCCGATTCCTTCATTGGTTTTCTATATCTTCCAAACCCCAATTGCAAAAACTAACCAGATCTTCCAATCAAAGCACAAAACTTCAAACAGCAATTCAAAACTAATCGAATCCACTCATGAAATTCTGAAACCCAAACCGCTAAAACTAATCAGAATTTTGAAAAAAAAAAGCAAGAAATCAAAATGGGTAATTGTAATTGCAATGTACAACTGAAAGAAGAGCAGAGGGTAGGGATAGGATTTATACTTACATATGAATCTTCAAAGTTAGTGACTTTGATGGAAACCCAAGTTCCAGAATCAATCATCAGATCTTGAAATTCATCAAGAAAAACTTTGAGGGAGAAGTGAAACACGCAATTGGAGTGGAGAGAGAAAGAGGAAGAATGTTGTTGAAGGAGATCTGAAAGATTGATTTTTTTTCCTCTTCTCTTCTTTTTTCGCTAAAGATTTTGATTTTGGTGTCGGTTTCTCGGCTGAAGGCTTTTGTTGGAAGCCAAAACATTGGCTATGAGTTGTTTACAGTTCACAGTCTTGGTGCCACGTCAGCATCAAGAAGTTAAGTCTTTCTTTAAAAAAAAAAAATGAAAACAATTATATTTAAGAGCATAGTATCCATCTATTTCAACTTTTAAATATTAAAAAAAAATCATTTTAAAATTAACTTGTTTCATTAAATTTTTATTAAAAAAATTTAAATATTTTATTTTTAAGTATAAATTAAAATATTTTTTATTTTTTATAATATTTTATTAAAATTATATAATTTTAAAATAATTTTTTTAATCTATAAAAAATAAAACAAATAAACGTCAATTCTTATATTTAACTACGTTTCCTTAAAAACAAATAAATAAATTTTTTATTTAATAATTTATATTATATAATTTAATTATATAACACTATTTTTATTTTTTTAATACCATAATTAGATTGAAGGAGTCGGTGGGAGGATGAGGAAAGTAAGGGAGAAATCTCC